GGGTGGGTGAGGGGTGGGGTGGGGATAGGGGGAGGAAGGGATATTATTAAGTATATGAAGAGAAGAAGGTATTTTCTAGAGTTGTCTTGTGTCATTGATGTGACATATCCTTTTAATTGTCCTTGTATTCCATTTGTTGCACCCTTACACACATTTAAGTCTCCTCTATACACTCTCTTTCTCTCTCTCTCTCTCACTCACACACACACCATTTTCTTAATGTGGAATTTTGTTTGAATGTTAATGGTGGACTACAAAGAATAATCCAAAGTTTGTTTGTTTATTTTTAGCAAAAGAAAGATTATTTTTTTCAATTTTTTATATAATATTCCATACTTATTTTAGGATCTCAACTAATTTAGTTTGCATTTTGTAAAGCCAACTACCAATATTTTTTGGATCTTACGATTTGTATTTGAGGCTTTCGATTGAAGATGAAGAATACTTATTCCATCGAGATTATCAATGGTGTAGAAGAAAAATTATAATTTTTTTTAACTTTTATACAAATATGTGTTCTTTTTTTGTTGCAATAATGATGTATAGATAGTTATGGGCAATTATGTAACAGTTCAAACTCATGGCACATATTGTTTGCTTCGACACAAATAGGCGTGTTTGACGAATCGATCCCTTATCATGTACCAATTCTAACGAGGACATGATCTTATTCAACAACATTGCAGATCATGGCTTTAATGGCAAAGTTTTGACATTCATAACTTATTTACTTTCAATTTCAGACAAAATTTGTCATTTTTGCGATAAGTGACCCTTCGATTCTAGAGGATGTTCAATTTTATATCATGAGCACGAGTAACAAATTCTTCATATAACTTAGATTTTTTAATATTAGCCTGTGTGTAAGTAATATTTATTTAAACTAATATATCAATTCAATAAATTTTAAATAGCTACACATATTTTTATGGCTTTTTGACTAAGAGAAACTAACATTTGAAATTTTATAAATACGTGCAAGGAGTAACACTGATTAATAGTTTTAGATTATTTAAATCAGAATCAATGTAACTAGACCTCTTAATTTTTTAAAATTGTTAGTTGTAAAATGCCTTTAAAAAAATTGTAATATGAGTATAGTTTTTGAAAAAAAGTTTGACTTTTGCAGTCGACAATAAGAATTATTCTCACTTTAATACCTCGAAGTTTGAATACATGACACGTACCTACCTCCTTGCTTGCAAAATAACTATAGCAAGGAATAAGTCAATGACGTGCGTTCTAAATTTAATTGCGGCTTCAATACAAGCTCTGAATTATCGGGTGAATTTTTTTAAAAAAAAATCAATAAGAAAAATAGGAGAAGAACTTCAACACCATCGATTAAAATAATTATGGATTGTGGCATAATGATGAAACTGTTCCATCTTAATTAGAGATCTTAGATTCGAGCCTTGGTATAGAGAAAATCTTGTTAGGAACGTCATCCTCAAATGGATCCTACATTGCGTGATCCGAATAATAACATGTGTCCCAAAATACTTGTCAATTTATAAAATTAAGATAGAATTAATGGAGTAACTTTTTTCTATTTTGTCCCGAAAATTAATTGTTTTTAAAAGTAAATAACATTGATTTTGAAAAAAGTTAAGGGTAAATTAATAAGAAATAATTCTTATTTATTATTTTTCTATTTCAATTTGTTTGTCTTACTTCACTTTTTAGTCGATTTAAAAAGTAATTACTTTATGATTACATTTGAAATGGTGGTTTTTTTGTTTTTTTTTTTTTTAACCATTGGGGAAAATATTCGAATGGGCTGCTAAAGCCCAAATATCAATTGGGCAGAAGAAACAATTAGTCAGTGATAAAAGGTTCAGTCCATTTTCATCTTTTAATCCTACTCTTGTAATATTTGTAAAGATTCTACCCAATACAATACGAATTTGAATTAATCGAATTACGATTGTCGAATAATTATAAAAAAATATTCAAAATCTAAAAATATGATGTTATAGAGTAAAATTATATATGACCACTAAATTTCCAACCGGATTGCAAACTCCATAATCTTTTTTTTTCATTCTTTGTTTAATTATTTTTTCCTTGACAAGACTATACTTTATTTTAGCAATATATAAGCTACACTAAAAATATACACGTAACATCTTAATTATTTATAAGTTCCATGTGAGTGTGAGCTAATAGAAGAATTAACTTAAATAATCGTTATTTATTCAATCAACTAAACTAAAAATAGAATGTACGTATAAAATGTATAATACATGTATATCAGTTAAAATAAGTAACAAGTAAATCGTTCCTACTATTCTTGTAAATTTCCGTACAAGTTTCCTTCGAGTCCCCACGTATGTGAAGAGATTAAAATTATGAAGATCAAACTACTTAATTTCCATTATTAATTCATATAGAATTTCTTAAAATTTAAAATAAATTTTATATATTTAAAAATTAAACAAAAATGTTATAAATTAACATGGCTAATGATTCACAAA